CCGTTATTGAAGATCTTTCTTGCCGGTGCAAGTGCCCTTCTGCTCTATAACGTGAAAGTAGCTCTCATCGCTTGCAGCTGGCGCTGGCGGCCGGAGTCGGAAGCAATACTAGTGATCACCCAAGTCTTCGTAAATTTTGCAATTGAACAATATTGTTTTGGTCTTCTTTTCAGTGCTATTCCGCAACGTCGAGTGCAGTATGCTTTCCTCTTACAATCAATCTTGAGTGTATTTCTATAGGTTGGACTCAGCTCTTATGATCGCCCTTATCCTTGTTCTCGGACTCGGAAACCACAAGCATCGAGAATTGAATTTGCGACCGCAAGACTACCCTCTGCTGAGTCTAAAACCGGAAGGTCGCCTGCTGTTGAGCTTGCCTATATTAGCAAAATCACTTCAATTGAGTCTATTGAATTCTCCTCCTGCCCTCTATGGGCGAAGACGACGATTCTATAGAGCTAGGATGAGCAATCTCCCCCTACGATAAAATATAGTCAAGATAAGATATCCCCTTCCAAGGGAAAGACTAGTCAAAACTATATCTAAAACAGGCTAAAGAATGAGTAATTATCGAAGTTATTTACGATTCCATTCTCATAATTTCGTACCTCTCTAGAATCGATCTCGCCAATATTTTCGTTCTATATATTTAAATAATATATCTAAAATACAAATTAATATTTATATATAATTATTGAAAATTTGAAATATCTTATAAACATCACCATATATCAAATACCAATTATAAATATTCATTAATATTATGAAAACTATTTTTGCTACAAGAACTATATAAATCATATACTCTCATATTTCCAAAATATAAATTTAACCGATATCATTCTACGAGAATCAAGACATCTTATAAAATCTTATATGAATTATGAAGCATATACGAAAGACCAAAAACCTACCCAGAAAAAATCTTATATATCGAATACGAAATATCACCATATCAATAATCTCACCATTTCGAGCACAAGAACTACTACAAAAACCCAATATATACTCCCCTACAAAAAAAATACTCCGAAAATTTTTAAATGAAATACCAAAAATCTTATTTCAACAATCAAAAAATTATCCAACAACGAAGATTCGATTAAAATTTTACCGAAAGTGTCGAAAATTACATCGTTCTAAAATTTTGTTCTTGCTTCAAAATTCTCCTATATTTTTAGAATGAAATTCGTAAGGAAGAAACAGATAGGCTACTGCGAGAGGTGGGCTCAAAAAGCAAGCCTAGCTCTACCGTTGTCAGCAGTTCGAAAAACAATCAAATCAATTAACATCCTACATAACTATATTCAGAAAATTATGGAGTAAAATACAGTTGAATATAATTAATAGATTCTTACTCTTCTAATATTTCATCTACTATTTGCTAGTGAGCTGCTAGTGCATTCCCGACCCGTAAAACCTCAAAAAATGCCGTGGTTCCGGAAATTGATGAACGCCAATGCCCTAAGTGATCAAGTACGATCAACGAGAGTCTCAGCTAAGCCCGACTAACTTTCAACTAGAATCCAAAATCGCTGAAACTGTAGCTACCAACCACCCTACTGTAACCCCAACCCCAGACCCCTTAACTCCCTCAAATTCACAAAACCACTGAGCTCGCCTTGGTTTCTCCAGCCAGTGGCTGCGAAGCTTTGGCGAAAGCATCCTGAGAGACCTGCCGAGGGGTTGCCGCTATTTTCACATCCAGCAGGCTTCAGGGTTCGGGACGATGGTATTACAATCCAATCTTTCGAACCCCTGCCTGAAAGGACGTCTCAAATCAATCCCTCAAGCCGCAAACAGTGACATGAAACCACGCACCAGCTCCGCGGCACGGAGATAAAAAGACATACACAACCCTCCATCCGCTACCTCCAGCATTCGTTGTTTGCATGCGGGCTGAGCACCTGCAAACAGATCACCGGCGGGCAGTCAAAACCAGCTGGACATGAAAGCTGGACAGACGTCACGTGAGAGGACTTGTGCAGCGGCTTAGCTCTCGAGAAGGCGTGTCCAGTTTTCTTGGGGATCCCAGCGACGACAGAAACCCAACCTCTCACAACCCCTCAATGCGAAAGGAAGACGGGAGAGCACATTACAAAATACGTCGATGGTCATGACCCGATGGGTACCCAAGAAGACTGGTAACTGCAACCTGACAATTGGCAAGCCTTGAAGACCTGTGTAAAGGGTATGTGCAAAGCAGTTACAAAAACGAACCCTAACCCTTAGCTAAGCCGCAGCCTTAACACAACCTCTTTGCAAGAAGAAAGGCTCTGCAGAGCCTGCGGCGTTTAGGGTTTAGGTGGCATCGATTTTAAGCTACAGGGGCTCAAAGTCTTACCTCAAGAGGCCCCGCAGTGGACCTTCAACGTCAACAGAAACCCAACCTTACATCAAACAGAAAGACAACCGATCAGAGGACCGCTGCAAGACACTCAGATGCTGCCGCGCAAGAATCGGAAGATTGCAACGCGCCGAAATTTATACCTGAACGACCGTAAACGGCTACAAAGAGACGTGCAGCAAGCTTTCAAGGTCTGCAAGGGGTCACTGCAGCGTTGAATCACTAGACTCACTGCACTCGGCAAGGCTGACAACAGGCAAACCTTCAAGACTTGCAAAGCATGGAGACTCAGGGGACCGGACACAAAATGAAGACAAAGACAAGGATCTGGCTTTCCGTGCCGCAGGAGTTTCACCGTTTCACCTTCACTTAGGTCTCTGCGCCCGGGGCCCCTGCTTGTCGCAGCCTGCACTGCACCACGTGCGCTCCCGAACATTGCTGGCCTGGCAGACTCTTCCACACCAAGCCTGAAGCCGAAAGTCTGAGAACCATTGCCCGATCTGCGCAGTCCGAGGGCAAGCCGTCAATGCTCTTTCTGATGCACGCCTTCTGATGCACTCCTACGGCAACAGCTGCTCGTGCACTTGCGCTCTCGGGTCTATGGGTAGGCCAGGCTAGCGTTGCCTGAATTTGTTCGTCTTGCATTCCATCGGACAGGGCTGAGAGGTCGGCTCTGTGAAGCAATCGTTCTTCGTTGAGCAGAAGTTATTGCCCATGGCACCGCTCAAAGTTTTTCTCCCGCAGCAGACGTCTTTGACCGGGTCCGATGTCTTGGTCTCCGTCTCTGCCGTAGCGCTCGAGCCCTCCAGGAAAGAAGCGCACTGACTCGGGCAAGCCCAGCCCTCTTTCTTCGGGACGAAGCAATCATCCGAGAAGCATCCGTTGCGGTGGGCAGTAGAATCGAAGCAGCAATTTAGCTTGACCTTCTCCACCGCCTTGTCCTGATCAGCGTCATGGCTCTTGATCTCCGTCTCTGTCATGGCATGCTCCGGCCGAAGGCCAAGCACGAAGTCCCCTGCCACGAGGAGGCATGACGCCACGAGGAGGCGCGACATGTCTTTCACACACAAGGAGCGCCCCGAAAAGGGGGTCTTTGCTGACTAAAGTTGAAGGCTGCACTCGCTTGAGCCGGAATGGTGGAGAGATGCGAGCGCGTGCCCTGACGAAGGCCCGTGCACCTTTGCTTACGAGAAGAATACTTGTGTATTGACAGGAGCTTCACCTTCCCCAGGAGAGCACACTCCAAAATACGTCGATGGCGAGGACGCGATGAGTACCCAAGAAGACTGGAAACTGAAGACCTGTGTACAAGGTATGTGCAAAGCAACTACGAAAAGGCGAACACCAACTCCCTAGCGGCCCGAGCGAAGCCTCAACCTCAACACAACCTTTTGCAAGAGGAAGAAAAAGGCAGAAGGGCTCTGTAGGACTTCGGGTGTTTCGGGTTGTGGAAGCGATTAGCGCCTGCAGAGACTCAAAGTCTTACCTCAACACACCCCACAGCGAACCCTCAACCTTGGTCCCAGCCACCAAAAAAACCACCGCTGAACATGATGACCAGGATGATGACGATGATGAAGACGATGATGATGGTGATGATGATACCGCCGATGGTCGCGATGATGGCGGGGCGTTTTGGAAAAGGTTGCTGCGCAGGTATTTTCTCCGAAGACCTTTCTTCGCCCCACAAACCTCAACAAACTTGACCCAACCTTCAAATCATCGGCCCCACCAGCGTTTTCGGCTTCTGCTCAACACTTTGATGACATGATGATAGCCACGATTAAGAGAATGATGAAGGCGATGATGATATCGACGGGTGATGGCGATGGTGATACCGATGATGATTTCAGCAATGATGATGATGGGGCGATTCGGATGCGACTTTCAAAAGGTTGCTGCACAGGTGCTTGTTTCCCCAGACCTGTCTTCGCCCCACAAACCCTAACAAACTTGCCTCAGCCTTCAAAGTCATCGGCCCCACCAGCGTTTTCGGCTTCTCTGGTACACTGGCGTTGCTGCCCGGCTTCACAGATTAAGTTCAGGGTGGTTTCTTTTGGTGGCTGGTGCCTCAACCTTGGATCAAACCCTCGACAGCCGTGGAAGCACAACCGAGCAGAGGAACACTGCAAGACGCTCAGAGCCTGCCGCGCAACAACAGCAAGATGGCCGAAATCGATACCTGAAGGGCCGTAAACGGCTACAAAGAGACGTGCAGCAAGCTTTCAAGGTCTGCAAGGGGTCACTGCAGCGTTGAATCACTAGACTCACTGCACTCGGCAAGGCTGACAACAGGCAAACCTTCAAGACTTGCAAAGCATGGAGACTCAGGGGACCGGACACAAAATGAAGACAAAGACAAGGATCTGGCTTTCCGTGCCGCAGGAGTTTCACCGTTTCACCTTCACTTCGGTCTCTGCGCCCGGGGCCCCTGCTTGTCGCAGCCTGCACTGCACCACGTGCGCTCCCGAACATTGCTGGCCTGGCAGACTCTTCCACACCAAGCCTGAAGCCGAAAGTCTGAGAACCATTGCCCGATCTGCGCAGTCCGAGGGCAAGCCGTCAATGCTCTTTCTGATGCACGCCTTCTGATGCACTCCTACGGCAACAGCTGCTCGTGCACTTGCGCTCTCGGGTCTATGGGTAGGCCAGGCTAGCGTTGCCTGAATTTGTTCGTCTTGCATTCCATCGGACAGGGCTGAGAGGTCGGCTCTGTGAAGCAATCGTTCTTCGTTGAGCAGAAGTTATTGCCCATGGCACCGCTCAAAGTTTTTCTCCCGCAGCAGACGTCTTTGACCGGGTCCGATGTCTTGGTCTCCGTCTCTGCCGTAGCGCTCGAGCCCTCCAGGAAAGAAGCGCACTGACTCGGGCAAGCCCAGCCCTCTTTCTTCGGGACGAAGCAATCATCCGAGAAGCATCCGTTGCGGTGGGCAGTAGAATCGAAGCAGCAATTTAGCTTGACCTTCTCCACCGCCTTGTCCTGATCAGCGTCATGGCTCTTGATCTCCGTCTCTGTCATGGCATGCTCCGGCCGAAGGCCAAGCACGAAGTCCCCTGCCACGAGGAGGCATGACGCCACGAGGAGGCGCGACATGTCTTTCACACACAAGGAGCGCCCCGAAAAGGGGGTCTTTGCTGACTAAAGTTGAAGGCTGCACTCGCTTGAGCCGGAATGGTGGAGAGATGCGAGCGCGTGCCCTGACGAAGGCCCGTGCACCTTTGCTTGCGAGAAGAATACAGCTCTTTTGTTTTGACAGGAGTTTCACTTCCCCCTGGCCTGTGCAGACTTTCCTTACCCCCCAAGGGGACCTGTCCTGTTGCTGTCATCAGCAAAAAATGGCCAGGGAAGAGTATTGTCGGAGAGAGGCCAGGAAGGCTCGCGTGCCATTTGTTTACCGACCTTTTGCCCTGCACTGCCTTGGACTTTCATCTTCGCCTGCCTCCGCGCCCAACCGGCGTTTCACCTTCGCCCGGCCGCCCCCAGCCCAGAAATCCCCTACACGCTGAGAGCTTTGGCCTTCAGAGCCATACAACAAGGAAATGCTCGCTGTGAGTGCCCAAAGCCGAGCATGAACGTGCGCGAGCACTCATGCACCGCCTAGAAATCCGCGCCTCAACACAACCCCAAAGTCTGAAATCCATCCCTCAAGCCGCCAGAGGGACACGAAAGCACACGCCAGCTTGCAAACACTCGCTCCGAGGCCGTGGCACAGGGACAAGAAGACCTGCTCAAGCTGCTGCCTCAAGCATTCACTGTGCGCATGCGGCACCTTCAGACCTGCAAATGGCACCAGGATGGGGAGCTTAGGGCGCCCAGGAGTTCACTCTGAGCCCGGCACGTAGCAGATGATGAAGCAGTCAGCCAAGCCCTGGGCTGGACACCTGCAAATAGATCACGAAAAGGAAGAGCGTGATAGCGAATGATATGCTTGTTTCACTGCTTGCAGGCAAGACCAGCCGGACGTGAAAGCTGGACAGCCGTCACATGAGAGGACTTGTGCTCTGGCTTAGCTCTCGAGAGGGCGCGCGCAGTTTTTCTCGCGGATGCCAGCGACAACAGAAACCCAACCGCTCACAACCCCTCAATGCCGAAGGAAGACAGGAGAGCACACTCCAAAATACGTCGATGGCGAGGACGCGATGAGTACCCAAGAAGACTGGAAACTGAAGACCTGTGTAAAAGGTATGTGCAAAGCAACTACAAAAAAGCGAACACCAACTCCCTAGCGGCCCGAGCGAAGCCTCAACCTCAACACAACCTTTTGCAAGAGGAAGAAAAAGGCAGAAGAGCTCTGTACGACTTCGGGTGTTTCGGGTTGTGGAAGCGATTAGCGCCTGCAGAGACTCAAAGTCTTACCTCAACACACCCCACAGCGAACCCTCAACCTTGGATCAAACCCTCGACAGCCGTGGAAGCACAACCGAGCAGAGGAACACTGCAAGACACTCAGAGCCTGCCGCGCAACAACCGCAAGATGGCCGAAATCGAGACCTGAAGGGCCGTAAACGGCTACAAAGAGACGTGCAGCAAGCTTTCAAGGTCTGCAAGGGGTCACTGCAGCGTTGAATCACTAGACTCACTGCACTCGGCAAGGCTGACAACAGGCAAACCTTCAAGACTTGCAAAGCATGGAGACTCAGGGGACCGGACACAAAATGAAGACAAAGACAAGGATCTGGCTTTCCGTGCCGCAGGAGTTTCACCGTTTCACCTTCACTTCGGTCTCTGCGCCCGGGGCCCCTGCTTGTCGCAGCCTGCACTGCACCACGTGCGCTCCCGAACATTGCTGGCCTGGCAGACTCTTCCACACCAAGCCTGAAGCCGAAAGTCTGAGAACCATTGCCCGATCTGCGCAGTCCGAGGGCAAGCCGTCAATGCTCTTTCTGATGCACGCCTTCTGATGCACTCCTACGGCAACAGCTGCTCGTGCACTTGCGCTCTCGGGTCTATGGGTAGGCCAGGCTAGCGTTGCCTGAATTTGTTCGTCTTGCATTCCATCGGACAGGGCTGAGAGGTCGGCTCTGTGAAGCAATCGTTCTTCGTTGAGCAGAAGTTATTGCCCATGGCACCGCTCAAAGTTTTTCTCCCGCAGCAGACGTCTTTGACCGGGTCCGATGTCTTGGTCTCCGTCTCTGCCGTAGCGCTCGAGCCCTCCAGGAAAGAAGCGCACTGACTCGGGCAAGCCCAGCCCTCTTTCTTCGGGACGAAGCAATCATCCGAGAAGCATCCGTTGCGGTGGGCAGTAGAATCGAAGCAGCAATTTAGCTTGACCTTCTCCACCGCCTTGTCCTGATCAGCGTCATGGCTCTTGATCTCCGTCTCTGTCATGGCATGCTCCGGCCGAAGGCCAAGCACGAAGTCCCCTGCCACGAGGAGGCATGACGCCACGAGGAGGCGCGACATGTCTTTCACACACAAGGAGCGCCCCGAAAAGGGGGTCTTTGCTGACTAAAGTTGAAGGCTGCACTCGCTTGAGCCGGAATGGTGGAGAGATGCGAGCGCGTGCCCTGACGAAGGCCCGTGCACCTTTGCTTGCGAGAAGAATACAGCTCTTGTGTTTTGACAGGAGTTTCACTTCCCCCTGGCCTGTGCAGACTTTCCTTACCCCCCAAGGGGACCTGTCCTGTTGCTGTCATCAGCAAAAAATGGCCAGGGAAGAGTATTGTCGGAGAGAGGCCAGGAAGGCTCGCGTGCCATTTGTTTACCGACCTTTTGCCCTGCACTGCCTTGGACTTTCATCTTCGCCTGCCTCCGCGCCCAACCGGCGTTTCACCTTCGCCCGGCCGCCCCCAGCCCAGAAATCCCCTACACGCTGAGAGCTTTGGCCTTCAGGGCCATACAACAACAAGGAAATGCTCGCTGTGAGTGCCCAAAGCCGAGCATGAACGTGCGCGAGCACTCATGCACCGCCTAGAAATCCGCGCCTCAACAGAACCCCAAAGTCTGAAATCCATCCCTCAAGCCGCCAGAGGGACACGAAAGCACAAGCCAGCTTGCAAGCACTCGCTCCGAGGCCGTGGCACAGGGACAAGAAGACCTGCTCAAGCTGCTGCCTCAAGCATTCACTGTGCGCATGTGGCACTTTCAGACCTGCAAATGGCACCAGGATGGGGAGCTTAGGGCGCCCAGGAGTTCACTCTGAGCCCGGCACGTAGCAGATGATGAAGCAGTCAGCCAAGCCCTGGGCTGGACACCTGCAAATAGATCACGAAAAGGAAGAGCGTGATAGCGAATGATATGCTTGTTTCACTGCGTGCAGGCAAGACCAGCTGGACATGAAAGCTGGACGGTCGTCTGGCTGAGGAGTGTGTTAATGTCTACAGCCCTCAGATTCAAACATCAATGCCGAAGGAAGACAGGAGAGCACACTCCAAAATACGTCGATGGCGAGGACGCGATGAGTACCCAAGAAGACTGGAAACTGAAGACCTGTGTAAAAGGTATGTGCAAAGCAACTACAAAAAGGCGAACACCAACTCCCTAGCGGCCCGAGCGAAGCCTCAACCTCAACACAACCTTTTGCAAGAGGAAGAAAAAGGCAGAAGAGCTCTGTACGACTTCGGGTGTTTCGGGTTGTGGAAGCGATTAGCGCCTGCAGAGACTCAAAGTCTTACCTCAAGACACCCCACAGCGAACCCTCAACCTTGGATCAAACCCTCGACAGCCGTGGAAGCACAACCGAGCAGAGGAACACTGCAAGACACTCAGAGCCTGCCGCGCAACAACCGCAAGATGGCCGAAATCGATACCTGAAGGGCCGTAAACGGCTACAAAGAGACGTGCAGCAAGCTTTCAAGGTCTGCAAGGGGTCACTGCAGCGTTGAATCACTAGACTCACTACAAACCTTCAAGACTTGCAAAGCATGGAGACTTGGGGGACCGGACACAAAATGAAGACAAAGACAAGGATCTGGCTTTCCGTGCCGCAGGAGTTTCACCGTTTCACCTTCACTGCGGTCTCTGCGCCCGGGGCCCCTGCTTGTCGCAGCCTGCACTGCACCATGTGCGCTCCCGAACATTGCTGGCCTGGCAGACTCTTCCACACCAAGCCTGAAGCCGAAAGTCTGAGAACCATTGCCCGATCTGCGCAGTCCGAGGGCAAGCCGTCAATGCTCTTTCTGATGCACGCCTTCTGATGCACTCCTACGGCAACAGCTGCTCGTGCACTTGCGCTCTCGGGTCTATGGGTAGGCCAGGCTAGCGTTGCCTGAATTTGTTCGTCTTGCATTCCATCGGACAGGGCTGAGAGGTCGGCTCTGTGAAGCAATCGTTCTTCGTTGAGCAGAAGTTATTGCCCATGGCACCGCTCAAAGTTTTTCTCCCGCAGCAGACGTCTTTGACCGGGTCCGATGTCTTGGTCTCCGTCTCTGCCGTAGCGCTCGAGCCCTCCAGGAAAGAAGCGCACTGACTCGGGCAAGCCCAGCCCTCTTTCTTCGGGACGAAGCAATCATCCGAGAAGCATCCGTTGCGGTGGGCAGTAGAATCGAAGCAGCAATTTAGCTTGACCTTCTCCACCGCCTTGTCCTGATCAGCGTCATGGCTCTTGATCTCCGTCTCTGTCATGGCATGCTCCGGCCGAAGGCCAAGCACGAAGTCCCCTGCCACGAGGAGGCATGACGCCACGAGGAGGCGCGACATGTCTTTCACACACAAGGAGCGCCCCGAAAAGGGGGTCTTTGCTGACTAAAGTTGAAGGCTGCACTCGCTTGAGACGGAATGGTGGAGAGATGCGAGCGCGTGCCCTGACGAAGGCCCGTGCACCTTTGCTTGCGAGAAGAATACAGCTCTTGTGTTTTGACAGGAGTTTCACTTCCCCCTGGCCTGTGCAGACTTTCCTTACCCCCCAAGGGGACCTGTCCTGCTGCTGTCATCAGCAAAAAATGGCCAGGGAAGAGTATTGTCGGAGAGAGGCCAGGAAGGCTCACGTGCCATTTGTTTACCGACCTTTTGCCCTGCACTGCCTTGGACTTTCATCTTCGCCTGCCTCCGCGCCCAACCGGCGTTTCACCTTCGCCCGGCCGCCCCCAGCCCAGAAATCCCCTACACGCTGAGAGCTTTGGCCTTCAGAGCCATACAAAAACAAGGAAATGCTC